GACTAAAGGGCTAATTAATAAAATTTAAAATATTTTAAGACACACAATAAATTTTCTTTTTGTTTTTATCAAGCCAACAAACACAAACACGAAATGCAAATTATTCTTAATTAATTATAAACATTTTTATTTTAAACATTCTAAAATAATTTTATTTCATTAAAAAATTAATTAAAAAATATTTAAATATTTTATTTATTTTCAAAAGTTTACATGAATTTTTTATTAATTTAAATGTACAAGTACTGTTAAATTATATTCTACAGTGAAATAGTCATTAAAATTTCGCAGTTCTTTAGATTTCTCTTTAAAAAAGAAAGTATATAAATTGAAGGGCCTTAACTTAAATAGGAAATCTAATACTATTTGAATGAAAATGGAATTTTGAATTTGTGGATAATAAAGTTTGCTTACAACAAACTTAAAACCTAGTATACCGTAAGTATATTTACGATATATTCAAGGTTACTAAATAATTCAAGTATATTGAGTAAAAATTATAATTAGAACAAAGTTTTTTAAAAGATCGCTTGACTTAAATATAAATATCAGACAATTACAAAATTTAATTAAAAGCGATTTATGAGTCTGAATCAATCTTTTAGATCAGCCGTCGTCAAACTTTCATGGGTTATGGGCAAATGTGAGTATGTGAGTATGAGTACGGGCCACTCAAGTTATTTTGTTTTGACAAATAGTGAATTTGTATGAAATTTTATGTTCCTATATCTATGATTGAACTCTCAAAATTTTTTTGAAAAATTTTAATAATCGCACTCGAATTAATTTTTCTCTTGCAAGCAGTATGACGGATCACATTTTAAAGTTAAGTGAGCCCCAGTTTAAAATATTAAAAATGTAGAAATGAAATTATTCTTAAATATTTAATTATAGTTCGAAATTTAGTCAATGAGGCGAGAAATAATCGCTGAAATATTAAGTATCCACAATTAAATAATTTCATTTAACATATGTATAATATTTATCACATAAACTTGCATAAATTAATTAATTTATTGTGATGGTTTGATAAAATTATAGTGACTCGTGCACAGTTCTGAAATATTTCGAAATTATTTTTGCATAGCACTTTTTCGCATAAAACATCTATTGTTATATTGAATTTCAATTAAAATATAAAATAAAATTTTCAATTTTTAATACAAGAAGTAATATTTAAAAAAAAAAACATACATTTATACTGTTATAATTTAAATTTATATAATATATACACACATACTTATACATACATTTAGGATATTTATAAATATTTAAGGTAAAAAAAACAAAAAGAAATATAAATACGAGTATATTTAATTGTAATATATAGTTATTAAAAATTATGTATATTAACTATTATATAAACTATTATAATTATATATAATATAAATATAAATAGATTTAAATTTAATATTTAAAAAAGTTCTTAATATTAACAACAGCAATAGATTAAAAGAGCAGCCCTTCCCAAATCGTGTTTGAAAAAAAACACAAAATATATGATTTTTTTTTTGTTAATAAATTATTAATATTTTTTTTTCTTGTTGTTATATAATTATAATTAAATGATGAAATACAAACAAAATTTAAAACACATACAAAAATAACAAAACAAAATCAAAAATAAATTTAAGAACAAACAAAATTTAATTCAAAAAATGTTAAACATTATTATAAAATCAAATATTAAAAATCATACACAATTAGAAGAATGAATAAAGGAAATGAGAAAATATTATGATAAAATAATAATCAAAATTTAATAAAAATTTTGTTTTTTCTTAATGGTTTAAATTTATTAAACATTTAAGAATTGATATTTTACAAAAAAGTGTCAACAAGTTTTATATACAAAATTTTGCTTCCTAACAAAAAAAAAACTTAAAAATATTTTACTAGAACGTGGTTTAGTTCTTCACTAAAATTTTAAAAATTATGCTAGACGACGTGAAGAACTTCGAATCATAGTTTAAAGTTTTCAATTCATTTTTATGCAACTTTTCTTATTTTAAATTAATTATTTTTAATGAATGAATTATAAATTTTAAAAAAGATAACGAAGGAATTTTGTAACAGCTAAGTTTATGATATTTTTTAAACTAGTTTAGCCCTCTGAATATTTAGAATTTAGATAAATGCATCAAATTATTACGGGTCAATATGAAGTTTCCCTAACTTCCAATATGTGTATTAATAAACGACATTACTGTGTACTAAAAGTCAAGGTTTGGGTAAAGGTATCATAATTTTCAAATCAATAATTTTTATTTTCATTTGGAATTTTTTTTTCGAACATATAAAATTTATATACAACAAATACTTTCATGTCTCTCCTTTTGTGAATAATCATACAAATAATTACAAGTGTTTTTCTTGTATAATATAATTTTACAGTAGTGTTCAAAAGTATAGGACATAAAGATTTTTTTTCAAAACAAGGGGAATTTTGTTACTTAATACTTGTGGTCATAACAGATAGTTCTCTTGAAAATTCCGTCTGATTAAATTCCCAAGTTGAAATTTATAAATCAATACGAATGTACCATATGACAAAAACTGCTTTTGTTGGTTCTAACCTTTTTCAAATTTAAAAAAATTTTTCTCAATTCAATTCATTTAATGCATCCTATAATATTCTATTTTAAACGATTTCAAAGATCAAAAGTTACATAGTTACATAAACGAATATCTTGTCGTTTGTGTAATTGTTATGTAAATATTATTTACAGTTATTTTGGAATTATTTAAAATTATTTAATGGTAAAATTTCATTGCTGTCACAATTATTTTACTAGTTTTTTTTTCATTATTTTTTCGACAAACAACAAAAAAATAAATAAATTATGAATTTAATAATTAAATTGTGCATATATAATAATTTAATTTAAAATATAGACATTAATTAATAAACAAATAAAATATGTATTTTTTGTTTTTTAAATAATTATTATTATTATTAATAAATGTGTTTCTTTTTTTTTCGTATAATTTTATTTACAAAATATTTTAATGTTCAGCAAAATCAAGCTTCTCCTGGACTGATTATTATTATTATTTTTTAATTATTTAAATTTTGTATTATTTAAAAAAAAAAATAGAAAACTTATACATTTTGTATAATAAATTTTATTGTTGTATTTACATAAGCGTGCAACAGCAATAATTTACATGAATATTATTTACAGTAATAATAATTAAAAAAACATAAGAATTTAATAAAAATGAAATATAATTTTAAATATTTACAATATTTAAATAAAAATTATTTTTCATTTGAAATTTTATTGTTTTAATATTTACAAGAAATTCAATAAAATGGTATATGGATATTTACAGATGTTTTGTTATTTTATAATTAATGTATGGTACTTACAAATATTATTTTGTTTTATTTAAAAAAAAAAACAAAGTATATTAATGGATCATTTTGGTTTTAAGAATATTGTTGACTTAAATTAAACTATTTATAATAGTTGTAGACCATAATTAAAGAAGATAATTTAAAAATTTCTCATAATTCAAATAAATTTTCTATTTTCCCTTACAGCAAAGAATTCGTCATCGAAATTTTAAATCTCTAAATTTTTTTAGAATTATAATTATATTTTCAGTAAGAATATTAAGTGAAAAATTGTTATTCGATTCATTTTAAAAAGATGTCACAAAACTTATCAAGATTTTAAAAAAATTTTCAAATTGTCACCTCTATGCTAGTTTAAAAATTATGTTTAATACGAAAAATTAATTAAGAGATTTTATCAAAACTAACAGTTTACGAATTAATTCGGAATCAATTTGATAATATTTTCCTTATTTTTTAAATAAATGTTGACATTTAGAGCAATATTGGTTTAAGTAAATTGAGATAGAAAATTCTGTTTAAATTAAACAAATTAAACTAAAGGTGATTTAAAAAAAAATTAATTTTGAAATATTGAAATTTAATCAAAAAAAAATCTTCTTCCCTATTCAATTTAAAAATTAAATCCAGTCACCTTATTTTTATTATACAGGTACTTAATTAGACTTTTATATTAATTTAAATTTTCGGAAAAAAAAAGCTAAATGAAAAAATTGAGACAAATTGTCGTAAGACCATTATAAATATTAAAATATTTGGTTTCTTAACATTCTATTTGAAAAACAAATAAAATTATGCCCAAATTATTGAAATAATTTGAAAATAGAAGTTTAATGAGAAGGCGAGCCAGCCATACAAGTAGGGAAATTATAGCATAGAATTAATATTAACATTACGATAATGTAGTAAATGTTATTTGAAATTACAATTTCAAAATAATAATTAATATTCCAAATTATAGGATTTTCAAGCCGAAGCTATATCTATTCTTTTTGTTTTCGCAATTGATTCTATGTGAATTTCTAAAAAAAAAACTAATAATTTAAATTAAAAAATTTATGAGAATAAATAAAATAGAATGTAATTAATTTTCATCTCTTAATACTGATTAATTACACACTTTAAGCAATTTGAATTTCTCTTGTAAACACGAGAATGGTATTTCGACTTTATTTGAGCAAAAAAAAGTATAGAGAAAAATTCTAAATTCTGTGTTCCAAATACAAACGCAATAATTTTCTAACTTAATAAATAAAATGTTTCCATTAAAAGGAAATTTGTAGTAAAATATCAAAACTTTTATGTTTGTTTTTTCCTTCTTTTTTTTAGTTAATATCATTTAAAACTTATCAAACCAATATTTTTAATATATTAAAATAAATAAAAAAAACAAATTTCGTATATAAAAAAAATCTTAATAAACAACGTGTTTAATTAATAAATATAAATATATATATATATATATACAAATATATTTTATGTATATGGTTGTATGTATATAAGAAAACAAAATTAAAATATATGAATTGAAAATAATATTAAAAAAAAGAAATTTTAAATGAAAATATTAAAATTATATAGGAAAGAAAACAAACAAAACAAACAAACAAAAAATGAAAAGAAAATATAAAATGCTTACAAGGATCGTCATATGATCCCATACAAGGATCCAATGAAGAAAAACGTGAATTAGGATGAGCAGCTCCCCCAACTCTATCGCTATTTATAATACTACGTATTGGCATAGCAGCTGGATTATTAATACTAGATTGATCCATATATAAACTATCACCATCACACTCACTTTCTTTATATTGTAGAACATTTGTATGCTTTTCATATATAACTAGGCACCGATGACATCCTCTTCTAAATGATATTTTCAATTTAATTTTTTTTTAGTGTACGCATACGATCCAAATCATCAATATTAATCAATCATTATGGTATCCAAAGAGAGAAAATATTTGAAGGCATTAAAGAAATAAATAAAAAAGAAAAAAATTGTATAAAAATAAAATTTTTAAGAAGTGATTTTTTTTTTGTTTTGTTCATTTTATTGCATATTTGAAAAATTAATTGCCAAAAGAAAACCAAAAGTTAGAAAATAAAAAATTATGTAAAAAATTTTGTATTACTTTCTATCCTACATAATTAACAACAATAAATATACTAAACATGTATACATACACACATACTTTATTTATAAATTTTATATAAATTATAATTTATTATATAAATTTTTAATACAAAATTTTATAATTATTGATTTCAAAATTTAAAAAAATTGTGCAAATTGTTTATTCAAATGATTCCCATGTTATACTGTTCGAGAATCCTTTGCAAATTTTATTCAATGCAAATTTTTACTTACTCCATTTCAATTTTTATTCCAAGAATCTTAGTTTTTAAAATCTAATGCTTATTAAAGTTGCTAACTTTGTGATTAACACAAAAGTGGTTTCAGCTTATAATTTTAAATATTAATAATTAGCTACTGTAGCTGAATAAATTTTAAATTTGAAATTGCAATTACAGACTCTCTACGGAAATTCAAATACAAATTTGAATATACTTGGCCTTATTTACGTAAGATTTAAATAATATCTTGTAGATTTTTAAAGATTTGCTTTTATTTTTATTAAATTGAAATACTCGTATATTAAAATGATTTGTGAAATATTTTTCAAAATTTGAATTCTTAACATGTAAAATATCAACTATTTTAATTATCTTACATAATTATTATGTAAAGGTATACTTTCCGTTGGGTTATGAAAAACTTATGTGATAATGTATAATACGGGTTGTATCTCTGTTTTTGCTAAAACAAATTATAGTTGTCTAAGTGGATTGAACATCTAATCAAAAAATAATTAAACCAAATTTTCATTGCCAAAAATATATTTGAGTAAAAACAGATAAAACTACTTTATTTAGCCATTTGATATAAAATCAGTTAGCGTAAACTTTATATTTAATAAAACTTGAAGTAATTTTAAAACAATTCTACGGCTCCAGGGTAGAAGTATTTAAGTTATTTTTAGTAGTTTTTCAGGAAACAGGTTTTTCTTTATAATTTCCATATTATTGATTTTACACGGATATTTTCTTTTAGGATGTTGTTTTAAATATTACTTCAGTATATTAAAAAACAAAGAGTGCGAGGTCATTAATTATGATTTTAAGTTGAATTTAAGTCGATTTTTTTTTTTTTTTAACATTAAAACTTATGTCAATTGAGTTGTTTTTGCGCAAAGTCAAACATGTAAGTTTTAAGAAGTTTATATTGTTCACTTCCACTTACAAGGTATTTATCACAGGAACTGGCTAAAGTGACAATATAGGTTAACAGGGAATAAAAAACCAATGACATTGCTAAAAAAAACAAAAAATTTAATTTTTGACTTAAGTACCGGGAAAGAGCCCAGAAACCTTAGAATTTATAACTTAATTTTATAAAAATTGCAAAAACTAACTTGTATTAATAGGAATTGCTCAAAATTTTACGTAATTTAAATTAAAATAATGTTGAATATTATAGCTAAATTTGAATTTAAATTTAAAAATTTTCAATTTTATTCATAATATTAAAGATATTTTTATTTTTTAAATTTCCTATTTAAAATTACGTAACCTACATACAAAACCAAAAAAGACTACTTTTTCTTTTAAAATCCTTTTTTTTTGAACAATTTCAAGAATACTTTAACAAACAACCTTACAATCCCGTATACATACATATATACATACATTCTTATTTTCTGCTAAATAGACACACAATCACCTTTATTATTTGACCAAAATCACAATTTTAATACAAAAGAAGAAAAAACAAGTAGTATAAAATAAAAAAATAAAAAATTCTAATTAAAATTTCAAAAGCATTCAATTAACATGTAAACTAATATTTATACTTTACTTTAAAATTATTATATATATACATAAATGTGTATGTATATAAGTGAATTATACAAAAAATAAATGTATAAAGAATACATAATAGAAATTATATAACCTTTTTTAATTGAAATGCAAAATATACAATATAAAACAATAAAAAAATTAAAGAAAATAGAAAAAAAAAATAAAGCAAAATAAAATAATAAAGTAAATATCAAAGTAAATATTAAAAATACAATATTTTTGAAATAATTCCAAATAAAATATCAAAACTAATACTAAAAACAAAACTATATACTCATAGATATAAAGTATATGTATAGGAAAAGGAAAAAAGGATTCAAGGTTTTTAAATTTACTATTCTAAAAATATCGAATAATTTATTTAAAAATCAAATATCATGCCCAATTAAAAATTTCTAATATTCAAATAGAAAAATTAATGTTATTTTTGTTATTATTATTGTATACATATATTATATACATAAAAATATACATAAATTCAGATCCATGTAAAAGCACTTATTCATCTATACATTTAAAATATTTTAAAATATGTATATAATTTAATTTATACTCGTAATTTCATTTAAAAACAAAAAGCAAAAAATACTTGAAATTAGTATCACCAGTGCTCCTTTAACAATTCAAAAATCCCTTATGGTCATGTAAATTTAAAATTTTAAAATTTTTTTATAGCATAGGAAAATTGGATCCAAAATGTCTATACTAATGCAGCTATTTTGATTTACGTACTGACATTTTCTTATTAATATAAAATTTTGCATAAATTTAGGAGAAATCTTATGAAATAATTTTCATAAATATATATTAATATTAATGTTGTGTTGTTTTGATTATCAATTTATTTGCGGTATTAGGACCGACTTTAATAAAAGAATGTGTTTGGGCTGTTATACCTAATAACTCAGGGTGAACAGAAATTACAAAAAAAAATTTGTTCCAATAAAATTAATATTTTTACCAATATCTTATAAACTTATTTATTTTGATACCTACATTTATACGTTTAAGTATGAATTTTGTTCTATGTTTTTAAAATAATCTCGTACAAAAATTTCTTTTTTTTACCTTAATCGGATAAGCCGAAGAGAACGATTTTGGAAATGTTAATGAATTCGGGAGAATCGGAACAAATTTCAACTTAAATTTTTAAAATTAAAATTTTTTAGTTTTTTAATATATTTGATAAGGTAAAAGTTGACACTATAATCCGTTATGAAAATCCACTTCAGAAAAGTTTAAATAACTTTACTGAAGTTTTTCATATAAAGTGTTTTACTTGTTAACTTAATTTAAATATTTTTGAACCCTACGCTCACACAAAAACTATGTACACTAAAACTATGTGTACTTGTATATACGAGGGTTGTTTATTTTGACAGTTACCTAAATTTGCTAGTTCATTTGCAAATTCAAAACACTTTTGTATGCAAAGCATAATAATAATATCAGTAGTTGAAATTGAAACTTATAAAATATGTTATTGGAAAGCTAAATAATTATAATTAAAAAAAAAATAACCAGTTTACCAAATATTTTAGTTACTTTAAACTAAAAAGATACAATATTTAAATTTTAATTAAATTGGACTTAGGCCATTCTTAAAATAAAGCATATTCCTATGTCAATACTATTTATTCGTATAACAACTAAAATAAAATTAAATATTTAAAATATTAAATCTGTTATTGTTTAACATCATCACCACTTAAATTTTATACTGTATCCTTTAGCATTTGTACGTGTTTAGATATTCTGATAACGATTTCATATAAATTATTGCATATAATGTAAGTCGGTTATTCAACAAACAATTATACGATAAAAATATAGGTTAAGGTATAATATTTACCAATTTATTTAATTATAAATATTAAAACTACTGAATGTAATCGGGCTATTTTTAATAAATTTTAATTTATGAATTTGTAAAACATTATCGGTGTGGAGCACTGGATTTTTTTTTGTTTTTTAATTCCCAAATTATTTCAATAATATCTACAATTTACGTCAACAAACAATAAACTGATAACACACGCAGTATAACACTTTAAATAAATACTAGTTATACCATATGTACAATGTACATAAAATGTACATATAAAATTACATAAAAAAAATTTAAGAATATTATCTACTTTATATATAAAATTTTTTTTTGTTTTTTTTTTTTAATATTATTTTTCTTATATTTATTTTATTACTCACTCGTCAACAATTAAATATTTGTTACCATCCGCTGCTGTACATTTACCCCTATAACTAAATAGTGAACCCTTAATATGTATTGATTGCTGATATCCAGATAAAAACCATGATCCTTCCCATTTTTGCGGAAATGTACAATTTGTTGGAACTGAAAATGAAATCCAAAAAAAACAGAACAGAAAAAAAAAATTATTTCAGTAAAAAGATACAAAAATATAAATTAAAATTAACAGTTTTGTAAAGATTACATATACATACATATAAATATATACAAATATATAATAGATATTATAAAGTTGTATAACAATTTTTTTTTTATTTTATATACCAACGTTTTTTTCTCTGCTTTATTATCATTCAGGGAGTAATAATAATTACGGTTACGGCTATTATAAAAATTATAACAAAACTATTAAAAATACACGGGTCCTTTACTTATAACATGCTTTTTATATATTATTATGTACAGTAAATATATTGTACATTTTTATGGTTATTGGCACTTTATGTAAGTATATAAAACATATTTACATACTATATATTTTACAATATTTGTGAAGATTTGTTATATAGAATTGAAAAATGAACAAAAAAAAATTAAATGAAGAATTATGTATGTGTGTATGGAAGTGAATTGTGCGTACAAAAGCGAATTACAGATCTAGGTTAATATATACGAATACCTAATGTGTACATACATTTATATATATATATATAGACATATTTTATTAAAAGTTATCGTAATCAATAAAAAACTAACAACTAAATAAATTAACAAACACTTTTAAATATTAAGATACATAATCATTCTGTTATAATTTTTATCAACACGAACACGCTGCTCACAAATAAAAATGTCTGATGCGATCAGCACATAATCGACCGCAATGTGTATTGTCTAGTTAATTGAAATTGTTACAGAATATTATAAAAATATCGTTTAAACACTTCTCTCCAATTTTTAGGGCGCAAGTGGGCTTTTACTTAACATAACTAGAAAAATGTAAATTTGGTTTTTAGTAGAGTTTCGTTTTATGCTATCAAAATTTCCTTAAATACTCGCCAGTTAGTTTCTGTAACAACATAAACTGAAATGTAGAATTTCGAGAAATTCCATCAATTTGTTCCATAGATATGGTAAAAATTGTAAATTTGGCCCCATACTGACACACACGTGTACACACAGACTGACCGACAGATTTCTAAAAGTAATTCGTTTATACTTCCCCACCATGGAGAAAGATTTGGAAGATTGAAAATTTGGTTGGAAGATTGAAAATTTGTAAAACTTTTGCTCCGAACTGGGTGTCAAATGCATGGGTTTTTGAGTTCCAGGGATTTTAACGAATTTTCACGAAATTTTTACTTATCCAAGTTTTTTTTGATTATAACTTCCGTTCTGAAAAAGATGGGGACTTCAAACAAACAATTTCTGAAAACTTTAGTAAAGGGCTTTAAATAGAAATTTACAAATTTTTTAAAGAAAATAAAATTTTTCCCTTGATTTTTTACTAGCTAGAAGATAATTTTGTAAAAAATTTTTTATAACCTTGAAATTTTTTTTATGGAATTTTTCCTACCTGCTTAAGCTTTAATTTAAGTACTCGAACACTAAAAAATGTAGCACAAAAACCATTTCTGTGTCAAGATTTTAAAGACCCTTCAAGGCAAGGATTTTCAGCGTTGTAATTATCAACCATCATTAAATTTTGATTACAAAAGTTACTCGAAAAAGCAGTTGAGATTTTTATGAGCCGCTATTGTGATAAAAAATCTGAATTTTAGTGTTTTTATTGAAATGCAACAAATAAAAATAAAATTGAAACGAAATTTTATAAACTTTTTAATTGAAAAAAAAAAATTGAATTTAAAAAATTTTAAATTTTGAAGGAAAACTACAAATTTTCCTTTTTCTAAAAACTAAAAAAAATCTAGTAATCAAAAAATTTTTTTCAAAACTTTTCTTGGTAAGAAAAATTGATAGGTTTTTTATTTTGCCAGTTTTTGTAAGAAATGTTACCTATATGGTTTAAGATTTTTAAATGCTTTTTTCTCACATTGGGTGTAATTTAAAAATTTGAAAAAATAATTTTCGGAATTTAGACACCATTTGGCATCTGAAGTTATTAAAATTATTCTGCTGAAACGAATTTTCAAAGGCATGCCATATAAATTTTGATATTTATTTTATTAGAAAAAAATTTTTAATACGAAAATTTAATTTTTTATACAAAGTGGAGTTTGTAAATGTTATGGTATTAACATTATGAAGCTAATAAATAATTAATAAATAATTTAAGGGAATTAATAGATTTTCAACAAATTTTTCAAAAACTAAAATTGGTGTATGGCTGATGCAACTAAAGAGGTGTTCCATTAAAGCAAATAATTTCAAATATGCGAATGAATAAAAATGGATTTCATAGAAGAAAAACATTAATTTTTGCCGAATTAGGTGAATTTCATAAGAAAATTTGGTGTTTGTTTTGAGAAATTTGTAAAATTTTTCGAGAAAGATTTCGTATTTTTTCTAAATTTTAAGAAATATTAAATTGAATTTAATTTTAGTTTTAGCAACATCTGGTTTGATTTTAATTAAATTTCTGTCTTACAATATTTGTGGCTGTTGTGCTATATCTTCTGTACCATAAAATTTTTTTTAATGTTTAAGGAATTAAAGCTTAAATGGCTGGGCAAAATTCTATAAGAAAGGTTTTCAAGGTTTTTTAAAAATTTCTTACGAAATTTTCAGAAGTTCATATCTTTTTCAGGATGGAACTTATAATCTAAAAATTTTGAATAAGTAAAAATTCGTTAAAATCCCTAGAACTCAGAAGCCCTTGAGATTTGGCACCCAGTTCGGAATAAAAGTTTGACCTATTTTCGATCTTCTAACCAATGATAATATGTTGTTGTATACCTTTCTTAATCACCCTGTATATGAAAATATTCTGGCATTAATATTATATTTTAAATTTTTAAAATCTCAGTTCGGTTTTCTCATTGTATTAATTAACTATTAGAAACTTAATAATATTTACTCTGATTTTTCTTGCTTTTCCTTGGAAAACTACAAAGCCCACAGTTCTACAACGTTCTTAATTTGTTATTCATATTCGGGAGAAATTTTGGGGAAGAAATGTACAATTGAAAATGTATAATTGGATAAAAACAAAATAATTCAATATTATTAATTTTGAATAATTTTTAAAAGGCGTGAAAAAACTAATTGCAATAAAATATACTTTTTTAATAAAAACGGCATTTAGTATTTTATTTATTTTAATTAAAAAAAATTTAATTTTAATACAAGACAGAAACCCTGATTTTATTTAATTATTAAAAATCAAATAATTTCAAACTCAACATTAGAAAAAAACTAAAAATTTCGTTAATCAAGTATAATTAACAATCTGAAATTCATCGATAAATTATTTATACATGAAATAAAGAAAAATAAAAAGGTGCAGAGTTTATATAGTCCAATATTGTATGTCCGATTTAACTATTATGCCAAATTACTTATTCATATTTCGACTTTGCATACTGTATACTAAAAGAACATTTAAATTTCCAGAACATTCCCAAAATTTTGTGACAATCATTATACGAGTAGTATATGATTGTTTATTTCATAAAATTTTCAAGTTTGAAGCAAGTTTAATTGAATTTAATCATATAGAATGCATCAGTGTTATGGGGGGTATTCGACAATTAGATTTAAAATAATTTCCATGGATTATTTAAATAGATTCCATGGATTATTTATTACAAATTTTATTACGAACAATAATAAATTTACCCTCAAAACAAAATTTTCTTATTTACATGACATAAATATTTCAATTAAAGCCAGTATTTTATAGTATCTTTGTTAAATGTTCAAATACTTAATTAAAAACAATGAAATTACTTCTTAAAGATGAGTTCATACAAGTTGTTTCAGTTTTCGTTTCAATATCCTTTTGTATTATAAAATTTTTGAATAGTTTTCTATCGTATAAGTACCAAATTAATTTTAAGAGTCTATGTACTCTTTCTTTTACATAATTCTATTATAATGTTCGATAAAAATAATTGAATAATCATCTTTGCATACACAACATTAAAACCAGAAATAATAAATCTTATTGTTATCGATTTCAATAATAAAGCAAAATTGCCAAAAAAAAAAAAATCCACATAATTTTATACGATAACGTTGAAAAATTGAAAATTAAATCAAATCAACTGTAGCTAAATAATTATGTTGAATTTTTATATTTTGTGTTTTTATGACAGAAAAATTGTATTAAATTATTTTTTTATTTTACATCGCTATACAGTGACCATCTGTACTTTATTTTCATGTTCTTCGCTCATATACTTTAGCTATTTTCTGCAAAAATTTTTCTCTCCTATATTAAGTTTACAAGACTTTATTTCTCTAGAAATATATGTATTTACTGAATTTTTATAATTATAATAGAATATTTTTAAAAACTCCATGCCTTTTTCTCTTAACATATTTCATTACCATTGTCATTGATTCACAGTATTTACAATTTAAAAAAAAACCCATTGTGAATTAAGTAAATGTTTGTGTATTACCTTTTAATGACTAAGATTCAATTTAACTAATTTTATGTTTCGCTGACTCTGCAAAAAACGAGATTTGTTGTAAGTCTGGCATAAATCGTATATTTAGACACCTTTTGACATTATGTAAACATCAGACTTTGTCTAACGGCAAATAATAGAAATTACTAAATTTTCATCAGATTTTACTTTCACATTGCTAAATTTGACAACTGCAAAATACAATATAACTTCTGGGTTGTTAAATGGAATTGCACACAATAATATTACAACCGCAAACTTTTTTATTCTCATTTTTGCAGTTGCCGTCTGTTATATTTTAGTGATTTTGACAGTAATCATTTTTTAAATGACGGTTCAATGAAAAACGTCTTTCATTTTTAAAAAGCCTTATTGGGTTTTGTAAAACGTTGTAGCTGACATTTTTGCAATTGTCAAATTTTTCAGTTTGAAAATGCGAACCCATTATACTTAAAACATCAGATGTATTACTTTCAACTGCTTACTCTTGTGGTTATAATTTTCGCAGCAAATTGTTAAGAGTTGACATAAATTTTTAAACTCGGACTT